AAATTCCATCCATTGATTTAACTATTTATACTCAGCAGGTCAAGGTCACTTACACAAATTACTTGTAATCCTGCTTAAATCTTTCTTCCCTGAGGGGGAAGTGCAATGAAGACACTGCCTGAGAATCTCGTTGTTCTCGGGAGGGCTGCAGTTTCTGAGTAAACTACAGAAGGTAATACTAAACATCTAAGTGTACTGTCAGTGTAACAAGACACATTTTTCTATCCTTTCTAGAAGGCTGATGTTGTAATTTAGTGTAATAAATAATGCAATGGTCAAAACAGAAAAACATTATAATAAAAATATACACTTAGATCCGACATCTGACATTGTTGCATGCTGTAGTGGTGTAGCCATTTTGGTCCCAGGACAGGTGGGTGAGATAATATCTTTTACTGTTTCTCTCACAAATGGATGTTGGCCCAGTAAAAGATATTTAACTTCACCCACTTTGTCTTGTCTACTTAGACACTGTTCCTACATATAACAAAGTTATCTGTCAAAGTACAGCTCCTTTTTTATACCTAGAAAGCTGATAGCTTGTTATGAAGAATTTTCCCATGGAATGACAGCACCTACAGCTTGTTCATTTTTTATCTGTACACATCAATGTGGAGCGGAAGTAATTGATTATTCTGCTGCATGGCTGCCATTTCCTTGTGTCTGTACTCAGACGTTTTAAATCTACTGTACTTTAAACTTTTCCCCCAGACTTCAGTTGTTTATATGAAGTTGTCATGTTTTCTAATATCTGGACTTCCATTCAGACATAATATCTTTGGTGCCTTTGCCAAAGCATGAAGTGTTTTATTTTCTACTAAAGATACACTACTGAACTCTTTTCAACATGCCATTGTGTTTAAACCAGATCCACTAGGCAACTGCTACAGAGAGAGCATGCTTCACAACACTCAAAATAACCATAGATTATTACTAAGTAGGAAAACCGACTTGAAATCAAGTGATTTGTCAATGAAAAATGTAGTCTCTCTCAACAAACTGGCCGCCAGCATTTTCAACAGCGATTCTTTTCTGGATTACAGAGTATGGAAATGGATAAAATTACATTTGTGTAGAGCACAGTCAAGTTAATCTTTGTTCCAGATGGGTTTGCACATCTTGCCAAAAGTTTTTCTTGTTTCTGGACAAAGGAGATTATTTGTGGTCATTATTGTTCATTTTGCGGTAATTTGAGATTAGTTTGATAAACCGTAATTTAAAGGTTAATCTTGCCCTTCAAGGTGCCAGAAAGACGCCTAGAGACTCTAATTCACAATGTAAGCAACCAGATAGACTGCATCCTTGATGCACAAGCATGCACGTTAATGTAGACTCATCTGACATAATAAAATAAATAGGCACTGAAATTCTAAGCAACTTGCAGGATAAAGTCCATCAGCTATATGTCAGCAAGCAGATATATCAGAGGAGTATAAAGAGTAGCCCATAGTGTATTACATTGGCCTGAAGTGTGCAATGCTGCTATGAGCTGGCAGAATTCCTTATATAGAAAATGCCCTTGCCAGCACTGTTGCGTATACTTTCTGTGCTGGTTTGTTGTCCCAACATCAGAATAGTTTTAATAAGTTACTAGCAATTAAAATTTTAAAAGAAATTTTTAACTTATGTGTAAGTTTGAAAAAACAGTTGAGTATATTTTTATGACCAGAAGATTTGCCCGGTGGTGTTTGAGTATTTGATTCAATGATTTTTTTACAATAGAATGAAAATATACATGCTTCATTGAAATCATTGCTCTGGGGTGAGGCAGGGGTTCAGTATGAAAACTGCACAGGGGAAAGAGGACTACCCCAGTCCTCTCACTGCAGCAGCTTGGGGCCAGGTGAGAAGCACTTCTCCATGGCTGCTGCATGTCCCTCAGCTGGGCAAGTCCAGGTCCATGTGCTCGCTGTGCTCCCCAGCAAGAGTGTGGAATGCAGCAAACTGCACTTTCCCCTCATTCGCTGACGAAGGGAACAGACAGTAAAGTTCCGTAAAGGGCATTTGGGGGAGGGAAGGAGTTCTTGGGGCTTGCACAGTTCTGGATGGGGTGGCGCACTCCCAGCCAGGCCCTTTTATTTACTTAGTGTTTCCCTCTCTTTTCTGTGTGGTCGTATGAGAAGCAATCCCCTTCTAGGCACTTCCCAGTTTCCTGGCACAACCAAACCTTTACCTTACTTTAAATTATGACAAGAGGAACCCATATACCAAATGTGGTGGCCCTAGACCTTACCATTTAGGAGGAGGAGTTCCTGAACAAACAGACAGACAGACAGACAAACTCTCACAAATATATACTAGATCAAGGATTGCCACCTAGGGTACACAATATATTTTTTCTAAACCTCAACAAATGTAGTTATTATTCCATTAACATATAACTACTGTGTAATGTATACTGTAGTAATATTACTAGCAGATGTACTTGGTGTTGCTCCATTTCTTAACTCTTGTAAGAAGGGGAGCAGGGTAGGAGGTGGAATGGGGAGACTAACCAGGACCACCCATGGTGGTGAGAGTGTCGCTGCTCCAAAGGCAGCTCCTTAGCTGGTAGTTCCTCCTGCAAGGCCAGGGCTGTGCAGGCCAGACCCAGCCTGCAGCTTGTTCAGAGGGGGCCCAGGGCTCCTTAGAACAGCCCCAGCTGTCAGCTGCCTGCTGGGACCTGCAGCCTGTGTCATAAAGCCCCAAGGTATCCTCTCCCCCAGCCCTGCTTTAAGTTACGGTAAGATGAAGTTGGGTACTGAATTTGGTGACCCTAGCTCTTACCATGTAGGAGGAGTTCTTGAACAAATGGACTCAGACAGACTGGTGCACAAACTCTCTAAATTATATATATAGACTAGGAGACTTTACCCTGCATTGCCCAGGTACTTCAGGGCAGGGCTTTGGGGATGTAGTATGTATGTGTGCTGTGTATTGGGTGTAGGAGGGGGTGCAAGAATGAGGATTGGGGTGAGGAGTGGCTCAGGATTGAGGGATTCCCCCCCAAATCCCCTCCAGCCCACCAGGGATCTGTTCTTCCTGAACACCCCTTCTCCCAGCTCCCAAGCTGCTAGGGGCCTTTTTTTCTCCTCCCTTCTCCCCAGACGCTGTGGCCAATGGACACTTTGCAAGATAGCTCTCCTCTGTGGGCTCACTGCTCCCATTGGCAACTGTCATATCACATCCCTTCGAACAGCAGCCCCTCCCTAGCATATTATGGGAAATTGTCCTTTTCCTGGGGCTTACAGTTGTCCTGGCTTTAAGTTAGGACAGGAGGAAGCTGAATACCAAATTTGGTGGCCTTCACTCTTACCGTTTAGGAGTTCTTGAACAAACACAATCTCAGACAGACACACTCTAAGGGTATGTCTACACTACCACCCTAGTTCGAAGTAGGATGGTTAATGTAGGCAACCGAAGTTGCAAATGAAGCCTGGGATTTGAATTTCCCGGGCTTCATTTGCATCTTGCCAGGCGCTGCCATTTTTAAATGTCTGCTAGTTCGGACTCCGTGCCTGCGGCTACACGTGGCACGGACTAGGTAGTTCGGATTAGGCTTCCTATTCCGAACTACCGTTACTCCTCGTGGAACATTAGACATACCCTAATATAGAGAAAGAGATTGAAGGGACAATGTGAATAGTTGATAAGGGACCAATTTTAACTCCAAGTTTCCAAAGGTATAAGTAATGATAAAATAGTGGGTTCCCGCCCAAAAAAGAATGCAAAATACCATAACTATATGTTTTAAAAATAAATGTAATGGTTCTCATTTATATCCAAATCATGTTTCTCTTGTACTTAATTTGTGTTGTTTTTTTTTTTTTTTTGGAGTCCAAATCATGTTTTTCTTGTACTTAATTTGTGTTATTTTTTTTTTTTGGAGGGGTGGGGTAAAAGAGAAGGATCCACCATTTAAAATTTTACCTTTTAACATGCAAGAAGAACATAAAACCTAACTGCAATTATCTTAAGTAAAGGTTTTATTTTTACAATTTTATCAGTTTACTTGATTTTGTTGATATATGCTTTAACAGGAAAGCATGAACCATTCAAAACTTATGCTCCAAAAATCCACATGCATTTCTTTTTTTTTTTTTAAAGGTAACACAGCCAAGGTGTTTATTGAAGTGGAGGATGAAAATGATCATGCTCCTGTCTTTACCAAAAAACTGTACATTGGAGGAGTGTCTGAAGATGCTAAAATGTTTTCTTCTGTGCTGAAAGTTAAGGTGGGAGTCAAGTTATTCAAGTACAGTTCACAGGTTAAGGAAAAATGTGTACTCACAGGACTGAATTTCCTGAGGAAGTTACAGTAGATACATCTGCAAATTATTTGAGCTCCTGCTATGTTATCAAAATTCACACTTGATTTGTGCACATAAGCAAGTAAAGTAGTTATAGAATGGCTAATTATCTGTTTAAAAGTCCATTCATGCATACATATTTGAAGTTTGCAAGTTCTTTTATTGTAGGTATATTTGTCCAATAATCCAGTATTGTCTGAAGTAAAACTCCCTTTGAGGTCAATAAAGTTTTGCCTAAGTTATTACAGGATTAGTTTGTTTAGTTTTGAATATTTTTGTTTAAAATTTGTAGCTTGTTATTTTTTTGAATATTTTATGGAATCAGAAAATTTCTGACCTGTCTTAATAGCAGTTTTCATCTAAGGGTATGTCTACACTACCAAGTTTTGTCAACAAAACTTATGTTGACACCCCAAATTTGACAAAACAAAAATCACCAGAGTGTTCACACTTGTTCCTTCTGTCAACAGTTCATGTCCACATTTAGGGGCACCATCATTGACAATGTGAGCAATTCATTGTGGGTATGTATCCTACAATGCCATGCTGTGGGAAGGCAGAGCTAATCCTTGCATATCTTGGGATTCCCCCTCAGTTCTCTCACAGACTCTCTAGCTGCCAGGAGCGACATTATGAAAAGCTCTGTGAGCCCTCCCTGCAGCACCATAGAGACTAACAAAAAATGTAGTTAGATACGTACTCATGTGGCTCTGTCAAACTGTTGTTGTTTTTTTAAATTAGTGTTTCTTACAGTGGGTATTTAAGTTTTAAGAATGCCTGATACAGATCCTGTAGGTGTTTGTGTCTGTCTGTGGGATTGGAACAAATCCGATTGTATCTCAGGGCCTAACTGTAAAGAGTGTCATGGATTGAAGCTAGAGCCATATAGGTAAGTATAACAGTCAATAGGTTTCCACTATAAGGTGGAGGAAATGTGGCCATCATTAATTATATTGTCATGTCCAGGAAGTGGATCTCTTATGTGAATTAATCCAGACTAAGATTGATGGTGGGGTGGAAGTTGCTGAAATCCCTGTGGATTTCATCATCAACCTTAGTCTGGATTAGTCCACACAAGGGATCCACTTCCTTGACACTACAAATTGACAGTGCCAGATCAACTCAGGCATCAACTTCTTCAAGATAGGCCCAACAAACAAAATAGCAGAACACTGGTAGTGATCACCTATAGCCCCCAATTTAAACCCTTCCAGCACATCATTAACAATCTAAAACCTATCCTGGAAAACGATCCCTCACTCTCACAGGCCTTGGGGGGACAATCCCCATCTACAGACAGCCCCATAACCTGAAACAATTTATTTTCCAGCAACCATGCAGCACACCTCCATCATACTCACTCAGGAACCCACCCCTGCAATAAACTCCGGTACCAACTCTGTCCACATATCTATACCAGTGACATCATCACAGGACCTATCCACATAAGCCACCACATCAGAGGCTCATACAACTGCACATCCACTAATGTGATCTATGGCATTAAGTGCTAGCAATGCCCCTCTGCCATGTATATTGGCCAAACTGGACAGTCAGTACAACAAAGGATTAATGGACACAAATTAGATATTCAGAATGGTAACACACAGAAACCTGTTGGGGAACTTTTTGACTTGCCTGGGCACTCACTAATGGATCAAAAAGTGACTATGCTCTTACAAAGCAATTTAAAAAACCAGCTGGAGAGAGAAACTGTGAAACTTGCATTTATATGCAAATTTGACACATTTGACCAAGGTCTGAACAGACTTGAACTGGATGGGCCGTTATATTCAACATGCAAATTACATCAAAAGCTAAGCATTGGCCACTTACAGCCCACTCTATTAGCCTCATTTAGCATGGATACTCTAATTTACAAGATTTTTATTCCCTTTCCTCCCCATCTCCCCTCTTTTTCTGCTATTTATTTGTACCTCTGGACCCCTCGCTATATTTATCTGAAGAAGTAGGTTGTGCCCATCTACATGCTCGATACCATCTACATTTTTTGTTAGTGCCTAAGGTGATACCACCTACATTTTTTGTTAGTGCCTAAGGTGCAGCAGGACCATTCATTGTTTTTCTCAGTCACAGACTAACATGGATACTCCTCTGAGGCTATGTCTACACTGCAGGTTTTTTGCTCAAGAAGCTTTTTGTGGAAGAGAACTTCTGCAAAAACTTCTTGCGCAAAAGCACATCCACACATCACAAGCGTATCACAAAAGTGATGTGCGTTGCGCAAAAGAGCTTTCACACTTCAAGGACACTCTTGCACAAGAAAGTTATGATAGCCATTCGCAGAATGGCCATCAGAGTACCTGTGCTTTTTCAGATAAGCTCTTTTCACTCAAGAAACCTCTGCGAAGCATCCTACATGCATTTTTGTGCAAGAACTCTTGTGCAAAAAAAAAAGTTATTCCTCCTAGAAAGAGGTATATCTACGCCGCAAAAATCCCTCTGTTCTGCCATTTTACTGTAAATTTTCTTGCACAAAAAAGTGCTTGAGGTGTGAACGCTCCACAGGTTTTTGCACAAAAACAGTGTTTTTTGCACAAAACCCCTATAGTCTGGACATAGCCTGAGACTGCTGAGGAATGTCAAAGCAGCACAGCATCCTGTCCCCCTTCCGCTGCAGCAGCAATCTGCCTGCCACTGTGTTCCTAATGTGGGTAAAAACAGGAGCAGTCCAATGATTTGCTCTGTTTGTGCCTCAAAAGGAGCAGCTCACTCAGTTGTCAGACACTTGTCAGAGATCAGAGATGAGCAGAGCCATCAGGGCAGGCATTGTGGGATACTGGCAGAAGCCAGTTCTGTCAGCAAAACAAAAGCAGAGTCTTCACTGGCTCTCTGTCGACAATAATGAGAGGGTAAAAGAATAAAGTCTCTCATCGGGCTGAAGTTTTTATGTCGCTGAAACTGACAAAAGTTTCATTGCAGTGTGTACGTTCTCACTGTTTTGTTGCCAAAAGACATGTTTTCATGACACAACTTTATAGGTGTACACACAGTCTAAAAAGCCTCCCAAAGTGTTCTTCTGAAGCACATATTTATACTTTGCTAATGAAATAATAGTCACCCTCTCTTTCAGTTCAGAAAAGCAATTTCCATCTGTTTACTGTATGTCATAAATCTGGCTGTGACTAAAATGGCATAGGGCAAATAATGTTTAAATTAACTTCATTTAGCAGAAAACTAACATTTACTAAATGTAGCTTTACACAAAGAATATGTTAAAGATATAAAAATGTAAGAGTATTTGTGAGTGAAAGCATATGAAATTACTAATAAATTACTATAAAGTTGATTTGTGAATGAAGGGGTCAGTTAAGGTTTCCTGCCAGTGGAGCCTTTCTACCTCTTTGGAGAAGCTCCTGGTTTTCTATCATTGAATTCCAGGCACAAACACCAACAAGTATCAATGAGTTGGGTCAGAAATACGTGAAATAGGGACAAATCTGCAAAGATGGGGTGAATCAGAAGTATTTGCCTTCACCCATGGCAAGGTGAGTGGATATTTTTAAGAGACCAATTTCTGTTGGTGAAAGAGAAGCTTTTGAGCTACTTTAGTTCTTTGTAGCTCCAAAGCTTGTCTCTTTCACCAACAGAAGTTGGTCCCATAAAAAATATTATCTCCATTGCATTGTCTCTAATATTCTATGACTACCGAGGCTGCAACAACATTTTGCCAATGGCAATCAGTTGATGTGATGTGAGGGAAAGTAGTGGATATCCAAGTAAAGCAAGAAACTTGTATGCTTTAATGACTGTATCCTTCTCCCATCAAAGTCAATGGCAAATATCCTTTTTATTTCAATAAGAGCAGGCCCATAGTGAAGTAGAAACTTAGCACTACTATACAATGTATTAGACAGTGAATGTTGTTAGTTGAAAATAAAAATACACTCCCCTAATTTATGGTTTCTTTATTTAAAATGAAACAGTATAGTAAAGCAAACCCATAATTTGGATCAGTGTGACTTATTGTTGTATTTTACCATTATGTACCAATTTTCTGAAAATGATTACTAATTAGCTTTTTTCACTGTCTTCACTTATATCTATTTAAACAAACAGGAATTCCCATTTTTAGTTAAATTCAATACAAAATAAGGTATTAGTAAGTACTAATGAAATTAATTAGATAAAACTGTATCTAATCTCAGTATGTATTACATGCAGAATCGGTGTGAGTAGAATTTAATAAATATTTATTCCAATTTCAATTTTTAAGAACCTAAGAAAAATAGCCCTTTAGCTTGTGTTGTAGAGATTATTTAAAGTTCCATTCCAGTGAGAAACTACTTTGATTTATAATACATTTTCTTGCATTATTAGTTTATCAGTTATTGTGAAATGTCTTAAATTAAATTAGAATGGCTGTGAAAGGAAACTGATGACAAATATGCGGTGCCTTTTCCCAAAATATCCCCATTCTATTCCCTGCTGATCACAGCTTCAGGGATCTCAAAATATGTTTTTTTGAATATCAGAGACATTGTTATAAAAAGATATAAAGATCTTTAGTATAACTGAAATTAAAGTTACAGAGCATAGGCAGCCCACAGCCCAAGGGTACCTGATTCTGAAATGTGAATAATCTTATCTGTCAGACTGGTTCAGTGGTTGCCATTACAGAACAGTATTTGCATCAGCTACACACATATGGGATCCACTATTGCCATTGTTCATCTCCCTCTTCCACTACATCCCACCACTTATCATATGAGACAGCAATGGTAGAACTATCCAAGACTTGAATTTCTGGTTCATGAGAAATTCCAGTGTTTTGAAATTTGGTTTAATTTTTAAATGGAATTAAACCAAATATTTTGTAATTTCTTATGACTCAAAAATCCAAGACACTGTTCATTTCAGAAACATTGACACATGGTGTTTCCAAAATGCTACACATTCCCCAG